GGGTAAACATCTTCGCTGGAATCTCACAAAACCCAGAACACCAGCTCTATCGCGGAGCTCACCCCATATACAATTGGATGTGATGTAGTTGTGCTGAAACCCTTAAAATCTCTAGCAGAAATTTGCATGCATCCTGTGACATAAAACCGCAAAGCACGGAGAAGTTGGCTTATCGGCGACACAATTACAGACAGGACAGACAAAGTACATAAGTAACATTAAAATATTCGTAGACTTCTTCGAAAATTTATAAACTGGCCTACGTGCCATTTCTATTTTATTATTTTTCGGTCGACCGACGACAACAATTCTTTACACAGTGAGGTTAGATCAAGTTTTTAAACGGCGTTTAAAGCTATAAACACCCAAAATCGGCCAGTTCGTTTCTTTAAACGCGTTTACGCACAAACTAAGTTTAAGGTTCTGGTGAAATCCGTTTCGCGCGTCAAACTGAGTTTCAGACGTTAAACTGGTTTAAGATCGCTTGATGAAAATGGGCCTATATCAGAAAGATGGCAAGAATGTTTTTCTAGGTAATCTGCCTAATTAACATTATGTAAAAGCCTGTTGCTTCGTAATTATTGAAAACTCCGGTAACCATGGAAAAATAGAGAAAGTGACAATAAAATTGATAAAAACAAACAGTAAATTCAACAGAATTCGTTAAATGTAGGGATCTACTTTTTTCGAAATGGCAAATAGTAAATGAAAAATCGTTCTGTGTTGTCATCATAACCCCGAATTGATGTGTATTCAAATAAACATATATTTCGGTCTTTGACTCCAAACAAGTTAGTGCCTGTGTAATCACTTTATTGTACACTCTTCTCGAGCATCTTCTCGTATTCGGTTAGGTATCAGTTTGCAGCTCAGTTTGTACCGATATTCAGTGAACCATTGGTTAAATGTGGTCTTGTATTCTGTGCATCTTACATACTTGGTAGGAATGTCACGTTTCTAAGCTTCCTCGGTATTTATTTGGTGCATCTAAAAGTGTCAGTTGTCGTGCGTACCCCTGGAAGGCTCTGCTGAAATTATCTCCAATACCTGTTCCTCTGTGTCTGGAACCCGAACATCTATTGTCGTTCATTATCCTGGAGCCAATACTCCAGTGTATCTAGCCCTCTGTTGGCGTAAATTCGTAAAATAGTTAATGTGGCATTCCCCGATAACTAATCAAATTTATCATGTCCGCATATTCGTTATTGGTGTACATTTTGTGAAAAGGGCTTCAAAGTAAGTCACAATTTGACAAATGCTCGTTATTTTTGACAAAATCTTGGTACCTGCAACTACCTGATAATGACAAAAAAACATTATTGCCGCTTTGACTTTTTATCAAAAAATTATAGATGAAATTTTTGAAATTTGAAGCAAAGATAGTAATTTTTCTTTTCGAATGCTTAAGTATTGCAATGTGTTACCAATCAGTCAAGGGACCATTTCAAAATAATGCTTAATAACTAAGTTCAATTTCGCTTTTCAACTGTTAAGATCTTCTAGAAATTTTCGAAAAAAATTTGTTTTGCTCGTAGTCTAAGTAAACCCCAATTACCTCTTAAAAGGAACTTCGTGAAAGTTCACCTTCATTTTTAACTTAGCTATTCAACAATATTTTACGTTAGTTTATTGGTCATTTGTAGTAAAACATTACAAAACTTGCTAAACTTTAGGGAAATTATCTGTTTGTAAAAGTTGCGATGCGTTCGACTTTTTAAGGAAAATCAGCCGGCATATATTTGTTGACGAACCAACCAGAACTGTGCTTGTGCAAACCTAAAATGTATAACAATGTCAAACATGCATTAAGTTTACTGTCCTTAAAAAGCAGACTTCAGGTTCCACCTATATATTTCTAATTGTATATTTCATGTTGAGAGTTGCGTGTTTCACGATCATTTTCCAAAACGAAATCGTTCAATGTGTTCTCTAGACATCGGTACTGGCATATAAAGCATGTTCATTCGGTTAAATCTAAAATTCCATCCCAAATCAATGATACTAAAACCAAAAGGTATTTGTTACTTTTTCCATTGCATAGTTCTCACCTTATAAAATCGCAATAGTATTTCGCTCATCTTCAAATAATTTGCCCTTATATTGCATCAATAACAATCAACTTGAACTTGTCAGTTGAATACCTAATAGACATCTCGATAACATCCAAATAAGCGTATGCCTTTGATGGAAACATTCCGAAAGCCGCGGCGAAACAGGCATGAGAACCCCATAGAAATTCTTCGGTAATTATGTGAACTACTGTTTGTTTGTGAGTGCCTGTTTGTATGTGGTTTTTACTTGCTTTCAATTGAAAAAAGGGCATTTTTGCAGATTTTCCATGGCGTCAGCTCAATGATAGAAGCGAACATGTTATTTACAAATGTAAATATGAAATAATTGTTTTTAGTTATACACGTGCTTCATAGTGTTTATTTTGGGAGTTTCATACAATAAATCGTATTGCTTTAATCCATTACCCAAATCAGTTGTGGATATTGCTTGTTAACTGAACATTTTATAAATCAATTATATTCGTTTTTCTTCATTTTATTTGTCTTTCACTTGCATTACTGCTTTAATTTGTAGTGAAATAAGTGCGCGTACCTTAGAGGAAATTTGCCAACAACTTCAGCCTCTTGGTTTTATTTCTAATCTCGATTAAGAATAAAGCTTTCGTACTTACATGTCATGCGAAAATACAGTCAAAAAGCAGTGCGTCCTCAAAAATTTATCACTGGTGAACCACATTTAAATTTTAATTTTTTTTCATTTTCTGGAAATGAAGTGACCTTGTCTTGATAGATATTTAAATGTTGATGTCTGCACAAAAATATTTCTATTAGGTACATCTCCAACTGTAATTTGTGTGATGGACATTTTCGCCGTCGAATATTTGTCATTTTACATTCCAACTTGTGTTTCAGAGTAAATAAATCTGATTACTACCTCAGTTGTAAGGAGTGTGTTCAGGAGGTTTCGATCCGGTTGTTTATTGATTTTTTAGATCCCTTTAATATAACAGAAAACGTATGGAATGCTGGAAGCATATTCTTAGTGCATAATCTTAATAATGTATAGAGACCCTTTCAGAAGGCGCGATAACATCATCTTCGAAAATATAAAATCATGACATCCCCGACGCTAGAATTCGGACTTTTTGCATACTGACACCTTCACAAACAAAGCACTTTTAACTTTGAAAATGGCTTCAATTGTGCGTAAGTTTAGACAGAGAATAGGCTAAATAAAAATGAGAGCAATTCTATAGACTTCCTTGGGATGACTAAAGGCAGAGGAAAAGTCGATTATTTATGTGTTAGGTAGATGCTAATTTTAAGTTCGTGCTAAAGTGACTTTTGTACATATGAAAGTGTATATATTTTGATAACGTTTCAAATTCACTGAATTATTCAGGGCAAATTTGCGGTACATACGAAGTATCTACTTATTAGTTTTTAGTGGTGATAAATATAAATAATATGAATTCGTGTATAGTAAACACATACTATTTACTAACATAACTTTAGGCTGGCGCTAGAAGGCGTGTTCAAACAACTAGAATGATCAAAAAGACAAGAGATTTGCGGATGATGTGGTGATAATAGCGAACAATAAAGAAGTTCTTTGCAGAATGTTAGAAGAATTGGAAGAGAAGTCAGGAAATGTGGGAGTTAAAATTAATAAACAGAAATCTAAAATTATGAGCCCGGAAGAAGAGATGGTCATAAGTATTGAAAACAGCCAAATGTAAAACGTCAAGAAGTATTTTTTGCATGGACGACAAATACAATTAGGAAAAGGAAATAAAGATGCCGAAATGGAACGAAGAAGGCGTCTAAGCTGGGCAGTTGTCGGCAAACTCTCAATAATATTTAAAAATAAAAAGATTCCTCAACAAAGACGCACAAAAGGGTTCGATCTGTGTATATTGCCAGTATTGACATATGGAGCACAGACGTGGACCCTTAGAAAAGCAATACAAAAATTAAAGACAACACAAAGTGGGAATGAAAAGAGGCATGGAAATGAGAATGATGAGTATTTCTTTAATAAATTAGAAGACAAACGAATACATCAGACAGCAGGCACGGGTAAAAGATGTAATAGAAGGGGTAACCTAGATAAAATGAGACTTTGCGGGACATGCAGCAAGTAGAGACGACAAGAGACGAAGCACCAACATAACACAATGGAGACCATGGCTGGGAAGAAGATCAAGAGGTAGACCGAATAGAAGATGGTACGATGACATCAAGCGAACTGCAGGACTAAAATGGATGAAAATAGCTAAAAACCGTGAGAGATGGACGTCGCTAAATGAGACTTATACGTATATGTTCAAGTATGAACGCCAGAGGGTTAAAGGAAGAAAAACACGTACAACTACTTAGGAAACAAGATCTTTATAATATGGAAAGTGATTCGAAATTCCTTTTGAGGAAACAGTTGAGAATATTTATGGAGTACAAAAAATGAAGCAAAAAGTGCAAATTTCTAATAGAAACCGGAATATTGATAAAAAAAAATAATTGGATTGAACGTAAGTAGGTCGATTTGGTAGCAGTGTGTTTGATTTGCAACTGCAAGAAAAAGGCTTCTGTAATACCAAAGCCAATTGATACCTTTCTGTGTATGCAGACTACAAAAAACGATTTTCTTAGATGGCGGCATTTATTACCAGAGTACGTTTGCCCACGGCGGTGAATTGGATAAAGACAAAGTTTGTGGGGTTACACTACTATTAATTCGAATTCTTTATTTATATCTAGTAAAGACAACTCTGTCAAGTTCATAGGTATGCTTCTGTTGTAGTATCTTATCTAGTAATTGTGGGCATCATTGTGTAGGGTTCTATAACTCGCCTGTTACTTGAAGCGTCAGTTAACAAAGTTAACAGATATTAACAACAATCAGATTTGAAATGACAGCATAATATTTATTGAGTTAGAAATTCGTCACTACCGTGAGGAGACATAGTTGAGCTTCACTTCCCAACCTCACTTCCCTGTATCAGTTTCCATTTTGCACAAAAACAAATATTTGAATGTGCTCAGAATCATGCTAGAAAGGAAAGTTATCCGGATATAGTATGTGGTCATCTATTATTGATCGCGCATTAAAAATTCGATCAAAGCAGATATGTACTAAACCTTTCATGTCATGCTGATACTTGTGATTATAATGGTCTGAATCGTTGTTGAGGAGTGGGCTTTTAGTAAGACGTCAATAACATTGTAGAAATAATTTGCTGGGTATAAACGACAAAGGGTTTCTTCAAAGTCTAAAAAGTTAGTGGACTTTTTAATTTTCAATGATGTTTTATTTTTTTTTGGAAAATTGTTCCTATAAAAACTGAAAATTCGTCATGTATCCCAATTCATCCCAAAATACAGGGACATGCAAAAAATTATAATTTGTTAGTAGCTTCGCAAAGTCCTTGATCGTTCTTTAATGTTCATGATGTGAATGACCATTTACTTAAAATTGAATGTTTATCAGCAAATTTTGAATTTGCAGACTGCATTATGTCAATTTTTTCCATCTAGCTTTAAGTGATTTAGCTACTTTAAAAATGGCTTTACTGAAATGTAAATTAACAGTCTGGTATGAAAGCATTTACTACTAAATTTGTTTTAAAAATAAAACTTTTCAATTAGATCTATATAATTGGGTTTAGCGGCTCAAGCACTCCCTTCCGTTAAAGATGAAATTGCAAATTTTTGGAATCTTCTTTAGCATTTTCATTTTATTTTTCGCATTGATATTTCAGTTATTCGAAATACAATTCAGAAATGACCATGTTTATGGCATTGTCTGCTGTCAAAGCAAAAATATTTTTTTAGGTTTTGTTTAATTCACATTTTTATTGATTTTATGGTTTCTGGAATATGATTTGCATACTCATCGATTTTATTTTGTTCAATTTTTGTACTTTGCTTCAGTTACTATAGATTTTAAAACTGGTTTGCAAACAGCAGCATTGCGGATTTTGGTATAAATTATATTGCCAGCTAACTAATTTACTACGAACTATCTGCTAACATGTACTTGCAATGCATTAATTTATTTTATTGAATAAATACCTAATGGATGAATTTTGTATCTATTATAGTGCAAATTATTATTAAGAAAAATTGATTGCTTAATATTGTTTGGCTTCGTGTTCAATATTTTACGTTTAGACCAATTTAAATTAATTTGTGATAACATGAAAAGCTGAAGTAGTCGTGCAGTTAATTCACATTTATACGTGTTTATGATATGTATCTACTTTACTATATCCAGATGGCTTGCTTATAGGAGGTCGCTATTAATATTTCTTCGGGTAGATATTACAAGATCAGAATGACTATTAAATCAGTTTATCGACATGACCGAAGAGAAACAAGACATTAATCTTTGTTTTTTTTCATCAGAATATTATAGAGCACAAAGTCGCTCTTTACCCAAATGTGAATCATACTCGAATTTAGTTAAAATCACCAGCACTTTCAACGCAATGTTAGTGAGAATATAGATGTAAAGTCACTAAAAGTAAACCCAGTTTCAAGTTACTTAAATAGGGCGTTTTCTGAAAGGACGGGAAAACTCACCGGCCCTCATGCGATTATTTTTGGTTTTCTCCATATTCAGATATTTTATTTCTGTTATAACAAATAAATTATGAAAACACGTTGATGAAACCGAAAGGTTTTTGAAATATAGCATATTTATAATTTCTAGCAAAGAGTAGTCGTTGAAATTTACATATTTAAAATGTGACTTATTGTAATACCTACAAATTGCAAACTATACTTCAGTAGAGTTAAAGTAGTTCCTTTAAAGACATTGCAGGTTGCTTGCAGGAAGTTGTTGTATGCAAATATAGCGTGGTACTAGTTCTGAATCACCTGCAGGAAAATATGGGGTAATGCAAATAATCGAAATTTACTAATTTTCTCTATTAAATTCGACACTTTTTGCATTTGTATGTCCTTAAATGGTGCTTGAATATCTCACAAAATAATATATTTGCTTTTCGGGCCGACCGCTTTATTTGTTTTACTTTCTTTATTAGTTTTTCTTTAATCTTTATTAGTTGGTAAACTATGAGTTTTTTTCGTCAAAATAAGTTCCAATTGAGTCGTTTCCTCATTGAAGGTAAATGCGGTATGACACACAAAAAATATGAAAAACTCAGGGAACACGTAAAACATATATTTGTAGACTAGAAAATTACTTTGCATGTTCGTTCAGATCGATTAACATTTGCCCTCTCTGAATACGATATGAACCGATTACAACACACGAAGCTTCACCAATATTCAATATCTTTCAGTAGCGAAACACGAATATCTGGTTAGCGTTGTTTTATTAGTATCTGATTTTTAATTTCTCTCTCTAAGCTGGGCAGTTGTCGGCAAACTCTCAATAATATTTAAAAATAAAAAGATTCCTCAACAAAGACGCACAAAAGGGTTCGATCTGTGTATATTGCCAGTATTAACATATGGAGCACAGACGTGGACCCTTAGAAAAGCAATACAAAATTTAAAGACAACACAAAGTGGGAATGAAAAGAGGCATGGAAATGACAATGATGATTATTTCTTTAATAAATTAGAAGACAAACGAATACATCAGACAGCAGGCACGGGTAAAAGATGTAATAGAAGGGCATGCAAACAGATTTTTCGTCATTATTTTATTTGTCCATGTCGATTTCAACTGATGTTGTTCTTACGGTGGGTTTAATTTTTATAAGATTTTTCTTTTGAAAGAAAATTATCATCTGCTATTCTGCTACACTTAAAGTATGGAATTAACCATTTCAAACAGATTAGTAAAAAATCAGTAAATTGCATATAAATCAGGAATTCTAAATAGCTTCAACATGTAACTAGCAACTCAAGTAAA